TGACAGTAGCATTTCAGCACAGACTGGACTGGTGTCTTACCTTAGCTCCGCCCTGAGTGACTGTCATCAGTATGCCATTGTATCACCGCCGGAGCAGATGTAGACAAGAATGACTCCTAAGCGATCGAGGTGTTTTGTTGTTGGATGTATAATGAACACAGCAGTCGTCATTTACTCCCGACATCTGAGCCACTGAAGACGGAGTGGATTATGTTCGTTTCTGAAGGGAATGCGCCCCCGATCTACATAAATGCGTCTATGTTCGCGCGAATCATTCATGATCCAGTTTCACCTACAGAAGTGAGTATAAGGTTTTTTAATGAATCTTTGCAAATGGCCTTATGTTGTTTTACACTACCATTGAGAAATTTTAACCAAACTATGTTACAGACTTTTCATTAAGACCCTAATGAATCATATCAATTGGTTTAAAATGGGCATCCGATGACCCCTTTAAGCAATGTTTGTTCAAACGTCTTTCAAAATATGTGGTTGTGAATAATGGAATTTTGTGAATGGATGGCATTCATGTTCTGTTCTTTCACTGGAGTTCTGTGGGCACAGATTCCATCTGCGAGAAACTTCCTGTTCACTGGCAATAGAACAGAACAGGATTCTGGAAGTAAACAATCCATTCGGAATCTGTGTATATCGATAATGATTTAGAATGAGCTGTCAGGTTACAGAAGAAATGCTTCTGTAGAAGCCAAAAAAGTGATATCAGTAAGTCATGACAACTTATGTATTTGCATTTCTTTAATCAAACAAGTTGAGCATTTTCAACTTTCTTTTTAATGTGAGATTCATCTGGATTTTCTAAGTCAGTTTAATATAATTTAAGTTGAAATTACTAATGCAACCAAGTTGATTATACTTACAATTTAAGGCAGCATAAGTTTTTAAGTTGAAATAGGTGAAAAAGTTTTACAGTGTAGTTTTTAAAGTAGTCGTGTAAAATCATCTTAAATTATTCAGTTCCTTGATTTGTTTTATGGGACGAGTAATTAATTCATTCATTCCAAGCACAATACTCTACTAATGTGATATTTTCCTAAATAAAATGCATGCATAAAAATGGTGAATATATGAAATGGTGAAAAATAATGGGGGAAAAAGTCTATATGTACACTGTTTAAATGTTTGGGTATAATATCTTTTTCTTTAAAAAAAACAAAAAACTTTTATATTCATCAAGGATGCATTGAATTGATCAAAAGTGATATTAAAGACATTTATAATCTTGCAAAAGATTTGTATTTCAAATAAATGCTGTTCTTTTGAACTTTCTATTCATCTGTGAATCCTGAAAAATAAAATGTATCACGGCTTCCACAAAAATATTGTGCAGCGCAACTGTTTTCAACACTGATAATAATCAGAAATGTGTCTTGAGCAGCAAATCAGCATATTAGAATGATTTCTGAAGATCATGTGACACTGAAGACTGGAGTAATGATGCTGAAAATTCAGCTTTGATCACAGATTTTAATTACATTTTAACATATATTCACATAGAAAACTGTTATTTTAAATTGTAATAATATTTCACAATTTTTACTGTAAGCAGAAGAGACTTCTTTCAAAAACATAAAAAAAAATCTTACCCACCCCAGACTTTTAAACGGTAGTGTATATATCACATAAATAACAGATACTTAAAAATGGCAGTCTGTTGGGAAATGAAAAGAACAGTAAATTGGTTTTATAGTTATTGTAAATATCTGTTAGCCTTTTCCCACTCTCTAACTTTCATGTCCTCACGTCCCCTTTCCAGGGTTTCCTGCAATACAGTGACCTTGTGTTTCCATTTTGTCATCCATGTGATAAATAACCTTACCGCTGTGTGTGTGTGTGTGTGTGACTTCCACTGACATTGTTTTTAGGAAAACCCGCCCTAACAGTCTGTCTTACCCAGCCATTGACCTTTAGGTGGAGTCCCTTTTTCTAACCCTCCCTCTGTTTGTCTCTTCCAGCCTCTCCAGATCGACGATAACTTCTGCGGGCAGGATTTTAACCAACCTCTAGGGGGCACCAGCACTATCGAGGGCATTCCGCTCTTCATAGACAAAGATGACGGAATGACTTCGGTAGCTGCTTACGATTACCGCGGAAACACGGTGGTTTTCGCAGGAACACGCAACGGCCGAATGAAGAAGGTAAGAGTCGCAGAGTTTCACATCTTATGGTCCTTTGATACTCTGTGTCTTTGTGCATTATTGGTATCTTCTGGGGTTTTATTTTAGAGAACCGCTTTGTTTGGTTGACTTAACCCATTGCGGAACGCAAGAAAATGGTATTTTGTAGAGGTTTATGATGCAACCTTGGTGTTTTGTGTTGTACATTTGTTTAAAGTTGCTGACAAATCTGTTAAAGGAAACATTAAATCAAGTTTAGTTTCTTCATGTATGACTGATTTATTGATGCATATTATTCCACGAAGTTACTTTTTTAGTTTTTCATACAAATTAATTTGCTCTACTACTTCAGATTTAATAGAAACCATCAACCAACTAGTTAAACTGACAAAACTGTTAAAGAGAACATGAAATCAAAACTGCTCCTGTTTAGTTTCTTAATGTATGTTCCTGCTTATATTCCGAAAGATTGATCAGATTGCCCTGCTTCTGAAATCGTGTTTCATCCGACATCACTTAGCCTTGAACTGTTGGTTAAAGTTAACAATGGCAAATGCTGTTTTAATGTTGCCTTTAAAACTAAAGCATGTCAGTATCCAGTGATGAATGCTGATTAGCATTCACCATTAAATGAATCACTTATGCTTACGTTATTGTTATTTGTAAGTCTTTTTGAAAAACAGCTGGAGCTTGAGACATTTCTGAATTGGGACGGTGTGCTTTGGCTCAAGTATTCAAGGAGTAGTTTGGCATCGTGGCTCATTTTTGTGGTTTTGAGGTGTGAAATGTGCAGCATGCATCAGGTGTGTGTGTGTATATGATGAGCTCAGAATGAGGTGCTTTCAGCATGTTGTGTGTGTGTGTGTTCTGCTTTGCAGCTGACAGGTGATGTTTGCTTACAGATGTTGCAATTTCCTGTAAGGTTTTATAAAAAAAAAAAAAAAAATGCTGTTCTTTTTTTAACTTTCTATTCATCAAAGAATCTTGAAAAAATCGGGCAAATCAGCATATTATGACACTGAAGACTGGAGTAATGATGCTGAAAATTCAGCTTTATATCACTGCAATAAATTACATTTTAACATATATTCACATAGAAAACTGTTATTTTAAATTGTAATAATATTTCACAATTTTTACTGTAAGCAGAAGAGACTTCTTTCAAAAACATAAAAAAAAATCTTACCCACCCCAGACTTTTAAACGGTAGTGTATATATCACATAAATAACAGATACTTAAAAATGGCAGTCTGTTGGGAAATGAAAAGAACAGTAAATTGGTTTTATAGTTATTGTAAATATCTGTTAGCCTTTTCCCACTCTCTAACTTTCATGTCCTCACGTCCCCTTTCCAGGGTTTCCTGCAATACAGTGACCTTGTGTTTCCATTTTGTCATCCATGTGATAAATAACCTTACCGCTGTGTGTGTGTGTGTGTGTGACTTCCACTGACATTGTTTTTAGGAAAACCCGCCCTAACAGTCTGTCTTACCCAGCCATTGACCTTTAGGTGGAGTCCCTTTTTCTAACCCTCCCTCTGTTTGTCTCTTCCAGCCTCTCCAGATCGACGATAACTTCTGCGGGCAGGATTTTAACCAACCTCTAGGGGGCACCAGCACTATCGAGGGCATTCCGCTCTTCATAGACAAAGATGACGGAATGACTTCGGTAGCTGCTTACGATTACCGCGGAAACACGGTGGTTTTCGCAGGAACACGCAACGGCCGAATGAAGAAGGTAAGAGTCGCAGAGTTTCACATCTTATGGTCCTTTGATACTCTGTGTCTTTGTGCATTATTGGTATCTTCTGGGGTTTTATTTTAGAGAACCGCTTTGTTTGGTTGACTTAACCCATTGCGGAACGCAAGAAAATGGTATTTTGTAGAGGTTTATGATGCAACCTTGGTGTTTTGTGTTGTACATTTGTTTAAAGTTGCTGACAAATCTGTTAAAGGAAACATTAAATCAAGTTTAGTTTCTTCATGTATGACTGATTTATTGATGCATATTATTCCACGAAGTTACTTTTTTAGTTTTTCATACAAATTAATTTGCTCTACTACTTCAGATTTAATAGAAACCATCAACCAACTAGTTAAACTGACAAAACTGTTAAAGAGAACATGAAATCAAAACTGCTCCTGTTTAGTTTCTTAATGTATGTTCCTGCTTATATTCCGAAAGATTGATCAGATTGCCCTGCTTCTGAAATCGTGTTTCATCCGACATCACTTAGCCTTGAACTGTTGGTTAAAGTTAACAATGGCAAATGCTGTTTTAATGTTGCCTTTAAAACTAAAGCATGTCAGTATCCAGTGATGAATGCTGATTAGCATTCACCATTAAATGAATCACTTATGCTTACGTTATTGTTATTTGTAAGTCTTTTTGAAAAACAGCTGGAGCTTGAGACATTTCTGAATTGGGACGGTGTGCTTTGGCTCAAGTATTCAAGGAGTAGTTTGGCATCGTGGCTCATTTTTGTGGTTTTGAGGTGTGAAATGTGCAGCATGCATCAGGTGTGTGTGTGTATATGATGAGCTCAGAATGAGGTGCTTTCAGCATGTTGTGTGTGTGTGTGTGTGTGTGTGTGTGTGTGTGTGTGTTCACACTCACTGGAGCATCACATGATGGATTCACTGAGATGTGAAATGGAGGACAGACTCTGTCCATCCCTGAGAGACGGACTGAAGATGTGAATGAAATATCCAGCAGCTTAATGTTATGTATGACAGTCAATCACAGAAGTGCTCTTCTCACACAGCATCGTCCTCTACTGTGTGTCTTTAGTTACACGAATAATCTTTCACTTTTGATGTTTTCAGGTTCATCGGTTTGTAGTATTAGGACTCTTTTCATATTTAGTCTTCTAATGTGAACCTAAATCAGTTCAGAATCACAGTTTGCTTTAATTGGTTGAGTTGAAAGTGGTTTTCAGATCTTGGGCATCAGCCACTATAGTTGATGTGTAATTTGCATGCTTTCATGTTCCCTTATGCATCATAACTTTCAATGCAGAAGTAAGCTATTTACTGTCTGTGAATGTGTGAGACTTCAGATTCATTCACTGCTGAATACCTTGAAAAATAACAAAGTGCAGTAAACCGTAAAACTATTTGCAGTACAAACAAGAGTGCTTATGATTACGGTAATAAATTAAAATAATGTTATAACAAATACCAATTTGCAATATCGAGCAGCATAACAGGCTGTTATTAAAAATTATAAAAATAGTATTTTTGTACAGCTAAAATAACTGGAAGCATCACACATTCAAGATACAGATGCCAGTGTCCGCTCGTACATTAAAAATAAGTAGTTGACCGATATATCGGCCGATATTTGGCATTTTTATTTGCCCAAATAATTTTTTCTGTTTGGACAACATGTGTTCAAGAAGTTATAAGTTAGAATAAAAGAAATTAAAAATATAAATTTTATTTTTTACAGTTTTTTATTTATTTTATCAAGTTCAAATTATTTTTGTCTCCAATTTGATTCATTTTAAAATTTAAAAATGTAAAATGTATTTTTATTTTAGTAAATATGTAAGACATTTAGTTGCACAACTGCTAATCTTTAAATTAAATAGTGTGATGTGATATATATCGACTTTATATCGGCCATCAAAAAACATATCGGTTGACCACTACTCTTATAAACACTCTTAGCTGCTTGTTTTCAAATACATTGCCTTCAGAAAGCACCTCAGATTTGTTGCATCTCCTGCAATATTTTGTTTTTTTGGGGGTCTTTTGAAATAGGAGTTTAGTTACCAAAGAGACAACAGGCTCTTACACTATAGTTCTAACCTGGCATAACATCATAAAGCGACAAGATATTAATGCAATTTCTTCCATATTAATATCTGGTAGATTCTTTACACACATACACCGTTGTCAAGTTACTTGATGTCTGAAGCGGCTTCGTGTCGTGACTGGTTAGGAGTGTTTTAGCTGGTAGTTGTTGGCGAGTGTCTGGCGATGCTGAAACTGGATTAGTCCCGCTGATCTGGAGCGTCGCAGCAGAGGGCACGTCTGGGCACGAGGAACTCGTCTTGAGGTCGTCCCGTCAGGGTTTACCGCGCTAGACGATTCAGTCTGGTCAAATCAACAACAGATGGACGAGCCAACTGGGCCGAACACACACACACACACACACACACACACACACACTGTGGTCTGAAGTCACGGTAAAGTTGGCCAGCCCCGCTCTCTCTGTAATAATGTTGTTAATTATGGCTCCAAACTGCTGCAGATTCCTCCGATGAGCTTTTCTGGTCTTGAGTGTCAATAGCAGGTGTTTGTTTGTCCTCTTTTACCACACACCCTGAATTCAGTGTCAAATATAAAGCAAAACGAATATAAACAATGATTTTGATGCATATTGTGTCATCAGACGCTAATCCTGAGGGTTGATTTGAGCTTTGCTGTTTATAGAAGTTAAACTTCTTGTAAGCTTAGGATTGATCTACTGACCCACTGACCTCTTGACCTCCATGACCTCAACAGATGACAGTCTATAGAGTCACTTGATCTCTCTCTCGCACTTTTTCTGTCTCACTCACTCTTTCTAATGTTGTCAGTGATAGTCACTGGTAGTGGTTGCATGCTACATTTTTATTAATGTTATTAATGGTGTTTTCTAATTCACCACCCTGCATCACGTTTGCTGAATGGAATTCACAACTTGTTTCTTACTAATTTTGAGGTGCTGATTCCAAAAATAGTGTCTGTTTTCAGTGATATCGGCCATTAAAGTGAAATTACTATATATATATATATATATATATATATATATATATATATATACAGTATATATATATATACATACTAGAGAGAGAGAGATAATTTTTTTTAAATTTTAAAACTACTTTATTTAACAAAAATGTAACAACAAATCATACAATCCATCTTAATTAAAATCCACACAAAATACCAAATATATTATTCAATACAGCTTGAGAAAAATAAACCATCGTCTATAACAGTGCACAAAACATCTTCACAATTCCATACATCTTTAAAACCCTCAATATTATTCATTAATTTATCAAACGTAAATTCATGTCTTATTCTTGCTATAATAAGACTTCTGAAAGTACCATCAACATTTCCTTCCTTCCCTTCTACTTTTTTCCTTCTAGTTAGAACAATTGCGGTCTTTGCTTGGCCAACAATAAAATGTAATAAACGCCCCTTTTTCTACTTTCTTTCTAATATTTAACACCATAAATAAAACCAGCATTGTAGCCTACAAACATTCTTGAAGCCTTAAAAAAAGAAGATTTAATCTGTTACCATACAAAAAACAATGGAATATTGTTTCTCTATTTTGACAGAAAGGGCACTTACTTTCAACAGACTGGTTAATAATACTTATAAATGCATTCACAGCAACAATTCCCTGTAATAATTTACATAGCAAGTCTCCAGTAATTTTGGTCAATGGTGGTTTATACAATATTCTCCATTCAGGTTTACAATTCTCTTCAACCCCAAAGTGGGATTTCCAAGGGATATCTGTTTTACTCTTGAGCTTATCTTTGTCTCATCTCATAAAGTTTTTTCCCCACAACTGAGCGTATTTCCAAACTCTTTGCTCTCATATCATTAAGCAATGGGTGAGAAAAATCTTCTGCAAAATCCGGTGAAACCTCCATATTTGGGAAAGAGTCACTGTTATCAGGTGCACATCCATTATTGTATCCGATTATTAAACTCATCTCTTCTTCAGTTAAAAGTCTTTTAACTCTCTCCAAGAAAGCTCCAACTATCCTCCTTGATTTTATTCACTGCGCCGTTGCATCAACTCTGTCAAAGTTGCATCCACAAATGTCCAAAAATTGCCACAAGGTGACCACTTTCACATTTATCAAGCTTTGGGTTATTTCAGAAAATGTCCAATCTTGCTCTTGCCACTAAAGGTTCCTTCAGGAGCCAAAACAATGACAATGCAGGTGTCTTCCTTGATATTTTCATAAAACCCCAAGCTTTCAAAACACTGTAATAATACAAGGGTAGATCATTCAAGTTTTTGTCCACATACTTGGTCCAAAAAAAGATTTAGCGAGTCCCATTCCCCCCACTGATCTGACGTTTCCAGCACATGTAGATTATATTATGCCATATTACTCTGTTATATTAATTAGATGTATATTTTGCTTCTGTAAATATGTCTAATCCCTTATTTTATTTTATTTCTAGTTTATATACTTGCATACATTAGTAATTCATTTTGCACTACATGCTAATACTTTTTAAATATTATTATTATTATTATTATTATTTTTCTTTCTGTTAATACATATATGCACTATTTGTAAGCAGCCCAGCTGCAATTGCTTTGGTAATACAAATGTATAGTTTTTGTCATGCCAATAAAGCACTCTTAAATTGAAATTGAGAGAGAGAGAGAGAGATGGATAATAACTGATTACATCATGTCTGGATTACGTAATCAGATTCCAAAAGTCAAGCCTACTTGTAATTAAAGTATATTACATTGTAAAATGCTCATAATCAGATTACACATATTTTTTCTATGGATTACAATTTATGGAGATGGTAAACAAATAAAAAAAAATTTCATTTTTTTTTTTTTTAGTGTTCAAGTGTTTAAATAATTTCTTTTACATTTTTATGATTTAATTAATTATTAGCTTTTTATCAACTCTCAAACCCACTGCAGTTCTTGCATTGAGCCCAATTTGGGAAACCCTGGATTAGTGTAATTTA